CACTGTTAGCAGACACAGAAGACATTCAATCCCTGATCATAGCAGGTGAATTCAGCACTCATCTTTAGATAGTTCATCAAAGCAAATGTCAACAAAGACATTACAAGTTCATCTACACTACAGATGAGATGAATTTAACAGGTAGCTACAGAATGTTTCATCCAACAGATACATTGTATGTTCTCAACAGTTCATAGACCCCTCCCTAGGATCAGATCATTCTAGAGTGACATGGTAGGAGGGGAGAGCACCAACTCCTGTAGGGTGTCTTATGACCAACACATACACACACACACACACACACACACACACACACACACACACAGAGGCAGATGCATGTCCTAGCCCATACAAATAAACAAACAAGTGTAAAGAAAAAAGTAAAAGAAACATCTATTAAAAAAAACCAAACAGTCGGACCAAACAGCTTCTGCTCAGTAAAAAAGTTTCAGCAGTGAAGAGACATCATACAGCATGAGAGAAAACACTTGTCAGCTATACACCAGAGGACTAATACTCAGAATTTATATTTAAGAAAACCCCAAAAGTTAAACATAAAACCTTCAAATCACCCAATTGATAAAGGGGCTAATGAACTGAAGAGTCAGTTCTCAAATAAGGAGACACCGATGATGGGCGATAAACACTTGAAACGCCACAGGGGACACTCAAATAGCAAGGGAGGACAGTGCCATTTGCCCTTGTTTCACACTTCCGAAGAGTGGCTGGCAGCCAGCAGATGCTCAATAGAATTTGTCCATCATTGCATAATCAATACTGTACCTTTAAATGGCCGTTGACTTCACTGTACCCTCCCCTGTAACTTTAATTTTTTTCAAATCCTATTTTTAATGATGGTTCTTAAATGCTTTAACCTCCCTTGTGGCCCACTACCCACCAGAGGTAGTGGAAAAGAAAGCATGTGTGCGTGTGTGTGTGTGAACACGCGCAGTGGACCTGTTTAGAAAGGTTCTTTGAAGCGATTTCTGTCTGTGTTGTCTGAAAATCAGCAGTTCAGCTCACAGGTTAGCAGGCAGCAGTGGCTTGATCCACTTGCAAACACTTTATGGATACACCAGCAGTCCAGTTCGGTAGAGTCAGGATAGCAAACTCGAATCAGCAGTGGTGGCACTACCTAGCAAAGACAGCCATGTCTCAGCTTTGACTCGAGTCAGCAGGGAGTACGCCCGGAGTTTTTTGCTGTGTCTCTCTCGGTGAAGCAAAGATCAGCGAAGATGCAAATACTCGAGACCAACAAGCATTGCACAGCTAGCTCTATAAGCAAGCCATGCTTACTCCCTCCGAACATCAGGTGTCTTTCACTGGTCTTGTCTCAGCATGTGTATCTGTCTCAGCTGACATCACTCTGCCAATCAGCCTGAGTCAGAGGAATTGACAAAAAAGACACACCAACAGCAGTTTTTCTGGTGCATTTCTCTCTATGGAGTCCCGACAAATACAGCTCAACTATACAATGTAAGGTGGACCAATACATGTGTGCTGTTAGCAAAGAATCTTTCATCGCATATCCTTTCGTGTGCTTTCTTTAGCAGAATATCCTTTCACCTGTGTCCACTTCACCTAAACGTTCTTTCACGTGTTTGTCCCAGCAAAATAACCATCCAACTGACTTTCCAAAGAACCCATAAGTTTCCACTTCACTCCCCAGAGCTCCCTCTTCAGTAGCATGATACCTTTGGTATACTTTCCTTGGATGAGAAATGTTCCCTACATGTACACATGCCAGGTCCATTACTGAACGCACATATTCCTGGAGGGAGCCACAGTATCACTCCAGTAGGACTTTATCTCCCTAATGTTGCCCCTGTAGGCTCATAGCTAGAGCTGCACATTCTAGTTTCTGTATACCAGTGAAATGTTCATTTCTAAAGGGGAAAGCACACTCATTTAGTCTATTGTGTTCTTGGTGGGAATCTATTAGCTAGATTCAAGCTTTGAGCATAGCACCTTGAGCAGAGAGTGGGTTGCCCAGGGTTAGAGAGTATCAAGGATCCCAGAGACCATGAGGAGTACCGTGGAGTGCTAACACAAAAACCAAGCACAGCATACTTACCAAGTGCAAGCCCTTTGTCTACGCCTTATGCACAGGTATGCTTGGCCTTCTTTGGCTGGGACTGCTTACTCCAACTAAGCAGAGGGGTCAGAGGCTCTGGTGAGGTGCTTCATGCATCATTAACACTTACAGATTACTTCAAAAGTTATTTAGGGGCAGACCAGATGTGCTTGACATGATTGTTGAGGAATGACTGAAGTGCTGATCATTAAGTTGACAGACGGGGATGATAATTCTATCACGAATTCAAACACTTGAATTTGCTAATTTAACAATACTGGAAAGGGTAAGTGTTCTTGAGGGATTCTACCATTGCCTGGCTCTCAGGATGACTGGGTGCCTCTGTATCTCCCATTGCCTGGCTCTCTGGATGACTGGGTGCCTCTGTATCTCCCATTGCCTGGCTCTCTGGATGACTCGGTGCCTCTGTATCTCTCATTGCCTGGCTCTCTGGATGACTGGGTGCCTCTGTGTTAGTTTTGTTTCTGACATGAATACACAATGGAGGAAAGCTTTATGTGTGATTCATGGTCTCAGGGAGTTTGCGATAAGATTGGTTGGTGTCACTGTTTTTAGGTCTGTGGCAACTATGGCAAGGAAAGAAATGGAAATTCTGGAAACGAGAGGAAGAGAGAGGGAGAGGGAAACAGAGAGAGAGAGAGAGAGAGAGAGAGAGAGAGAGAGAGAGAGAGAGAGACTGTATTTCAGAGACATCTCTCCAGCGACCTATTTTCTTGCTAAGCACATTCAACTGTGAACTCATCAACAAATTAACCAATTTATGATACAATATCCTCATGATCTGGTCATACCTCAATAGCCACTAGTTGGGGACCAAGCCCAAGGGAAGACTTTATTTGAGTTCCGGAGACTTTGAGTAGAAAAATTAAGGAATGTCTGTCTAGAAGAAGAAGGGGGGTGAGGTGAGGGAGAGGAAACCTTAGTGAATGAACAATGATATGCCAGCCAAGGTATGGCTGAGGAGAGGGTTTATTGTACATATCAGGGACAACACAGCTGTAGGTATCTAGAAAAGGTCAGACTGAACATGGCCTGAATACTGACCAGGCTATGAAAGGAGGGAGCAAGGAGAACAAGAGAGGGGAGGAGAGAGGAGAGGAGAGGAGAGGAGAGGAGAGGAGAGGAGAGGAGAGGAGAGACCGAGGCTAAGAAGCCAGGAATGAGCCAGGAGACCACCAGCCTCAAAGAGGGCAAGTAGCCAAACGCCTGAGTTATCCAGGGAAGAGAAACTGGGAGAAGGAAAGGAAACCTCGGGGGGCTGGGAAGGTTTAGGGTAGAGGGTAGGGTATGCCAGCCAGGACAGTTCTGTAATGGTACTTGAGATGCTCTGAACCTGGTGCCAGCATCCTCTTTGATATGTTAAGTAGGCATCCCAGTTAGCCATTTGTCTCGAGTTTGAGATCCAACACCTAGAGACAGTGAGATAAGATGCTGAGGCTTACTTGCTGGCTTTCCCCAGATCTTTTACCCAGTGTATGCTACTGTTCACTGTTAGAACATGGGCCTGCAACTTCAGGCTAGGCCTACATCCTGAATCAGGCCATGCCTCTTTGTGCTGTGACTGAAGACTCGCAAGCTGTGGTCACTGGCTCTTCTTTGTCATGTTACTATGCTGAAGTAAATTGAGTGGATGAAACTTCCTGCCACCCCTGAGAGGCTATAAAAAGTCATCTCGGTCCTTCTTTCTGAGGATTTTGTCCAAAGAGATAACCTCAGGGATAGACTCTACAGGCCATCCAACATGGCGGCCATGCTCCCCATCTCTCCCATACTCATGAAGGCCCTCTCCAAGGGTAATGCACAAAATTAACCCATAAGTTCCCTTACCCACCCAGGAACCAGGTAACTTCCTGAAATGCTGAGAGTTGTAGGCCTTAGAGAATAACAAACCCTCATGGGAAAGTACAGTGGCCTATAGGTTTTGCTTAAAAGCCCCGGCCTTGCAACACGTGGTTCCAGGCCATCCTCAGCTGGGAAAGTCCTCACTACTTAATATTTAATAAAACTTGCTTTAAATTTGGCCCAAAATTGAGGATTTTTTTCTTTTCTTTTCTTTTCTTTTAGAATCTCAGGATTAACACAGGCTGTCAGGAAAGCCTCCGCTTCTCTTTAAGGAACCACTAAGTTTAGATTTTTCCATATATGGTATTGTTTAATGTGCTCCTTTCCACTGTAAGGCCCAATCATGGCCTGGGGAATAGTGTCTGCTCCCTTTTCAAACCAACTGTGGTTTTATTTTAGTCAGCATCATCTTAAGCTGAAAAACATTGAACTTCTTCAGTTCAACTCTTACCTGAGAAGGGAATGACAGAGCAGCAAGTAAAATATAAGGAGCTCAGTAAAATTGGAATTTTAGACAGTGAGTACATTCGTAATGTAAATTTTGTTCCAAATACAGTATGAAACTCATAGTAGAAGTATCTTTTACTGGGGCTAGAATGATGATGGCTTAGTGGTTAAGAACACTGGATGCTCTTCCAGAGGACCCAAGTTCAGTTCCCAGCACTGACAAGGTTGCTCACAACCATCTGTTACTTCAGTTTCAGATGGCTCGATGCCCATTTTTACCCTCCACAGAGGTTGCATGCATGTGGTTCATGACATACGTGCATGCAGAACAGCCACACATGCAGAAAGTAAAAAGAAATAAAAATCTTTAAAAATTAAAAATATATTATTTATCATTGTGGCTGAAATAAAGAACTCAGTGGCAGAGCACTTGGCTCCCTGGCACCGTACCAAACTCAATGCCTAAGCAGACTTGACATGTAACCTGTGTTTCCTAAGTTTTTATTTGCTGAACTTGGCAATTGGATCCCTCGATGCACAGGACTCATCTCACAGAAATCCACACCAAAGCTAACATCTGGGGAAATCTTATAAAGATGTAGTCTATAGCACAGGTGATAACTTTGTCTTTAATATAATTCATGATATTTTGACAGCCTTCAGATCCAACTCAGCTTTACGACTGCAGGCTTCACCAGCTAGACATCTCAGTGGAACAGGAGAGGCCTCGAGTACAGCAATGAACTTGAGTTTTTTCCGACGTGTTTTTCCTGAGGTTAGAAGCCATGTTCCTTGAAGTACTTGGCTCGCGCAAGGACATCATTGCAGAAATCACAGTTCAGGTCCTGGTTGCTTCGGATAAAGTTAGGACCTTTACTGTAGGCACAAAGTCCACCTGAAATTCATGTGACAGGTTAATCCTCAACACAGGACACTCAGTAGAAAGCTCAGAGTCCCTCTCCCAACTCTCTGTCAGCAGGCTATTGTGGCCTAGAAAACCCAGTATCACACTAATCTTTTACTTCCGGGCTGTGAAGCAACCAGCCAACAGTGGAACACATACCTCTCAGGTGCTGGTCGGGGGTCCAGGTTGGGAACCTAGTCTTGATCTCTTTGATGCTAGATGTCAGAGTCTGAGCTTTCTGGGAAACCCAGGCCTCACTCTTCCAAGCTGTGGGAGGGTAGAATTTTGTCTCCTAGTGGGAAGGAGGCAGAAGGAGGGCTGAGTAAGCCAGGTGGGCAGTGGTATAGGATCCTCTTCCATCTCCCCTCTGTTTTTCTCCTTTTTCCATCTCCCTGGTGCTGAAGCTACTTACACCTATGAGGAGAATTTGTATGCAAAACACTAAGACAAGTGCTGCCAGGGACTTGGAAAAGTTAGAATCCTGTGCACTGTTGATAGGAATACAAACTGGTGTGACCACCATGGACAGCAGTGTCCAGGTGCCCTCTTTCATAAATCAAAATTAGAAATCCTGTACAGTCTAGCAATGCCAGTTCTGGGTGTTTATCCAAATGAATTGTCTCAGCCTGGCTAGAGAGAGAGAGAGAGAAAGAGAGAGAGAGAGGGAGAGAGAGAGAGAGAGAGAGAGAGAGAGGATGACTTCGATGTCCTTGACAGATGAACAGAGAAAATGAGACATACACACACCATTGTTCTATTTAGCCTCAAAAAGGAAGACAATTGTATTGTGGAGTGCAGAGAATACAGATGAAACTTGAGGGTACTGTGCTAAGTGAAATAAGCCGGTCACAATGAGACAAAACGACAAGCCAACAAACTAAAGCAAATCCTGTAGGACCCCACTTACATGGGGAGTATGAAAGGTCAGATTTGTAGATGCAAAGAACACAATAGGGGTGGCCAGCGTGGCAAGTGGCTGGGCCATGTGGAGGTACAGGTTACTAAGTCTAGACTTTCCGTTGTACAGTAATGACTTTCTAGAAAATCTGAGGTCCAATTGTATTTTAAGTGAAAGCTGTTAAGAAGCTAGATCTCATTTTACACCAGAACAAACTACAGGGTTTAGGCTATGGAGGGGCAAGCATCTCGCTGATGCCCCGGTGTAACAGAGAGTGGTCACTCTGAGGCCAAGATGGTTAATGCACATAGAATCCAGTGCCGCCCTTCCTCAGTGCTGCAAACATAACTCCAAATGAACCAGGAAGGGATCCCGCCTGGATGTCAGTCCTCCCTGAAGGTGATCAGAATGTCAGCAGGGGACTCTAGCCCTTCTTGGATTCCACAGGTCACCACTTTCACAGAGACCTCATCGGACTTAGGAGAAATGGCTGAATTTAAGGGATTCTTAGTTTATCTCAGAGGAGATGGACCAATGCTTCTCACAGGAAATAGATTTAACAAACAAACAAACAATCAGGGAGGAAAATGGCAGCCATCCTAACAGCACAAGGCACCACTGGTCCATATCTCTCTCTGCCTGTGTAACTTGACAGTCGTGACTCCTCTGTGAGCCCCACTTCCTCACTGGTGACTCAACACCCCCATCCTATCAGATTATCACAAATCTGATTTGTGTCCACAAATCAAAAGGATTAGGTAGCAGAAGATAGGTTTAAACCCAACTTCATTACAGGTAGCCAAGAGAAGCCAATTCAAAGATCATCAAGGAATACATTTTCCTGAAAGCTCGAAAATGGCAGAAGGCACATAGGTGTGTCAGCAACAGTCTGAGAGGCAACCGGAAACTCCATCCTCATCTCCTCCCTGACCCCAACAGTGGCTCAGCCCCCAGAAGACTCCAGTGTAATTGGTGCAAAGGTAAAGCTCAACCTCGGAAGTAACAGGCACGAGGCACAGAGAGAAGACAGTGAGAGAGGGGTTCAATGGCCCGAGAAGCTACCAGCCATAGCTACCTTTTTACGTTATCCCATTGGCTCTTAATAATGATTCTTCTGGAATGGCACTTAGGGGGTGAAGTCAAGCCCATTGGTGAGACACTTGCTTAGCATACACAAAGTGTAACTCTAAGAACTACCAAAATCTAAATGGAATTTTATAGGTAGGGCACAAGGCCCAGTGAAGGGACCCATTCAAGGTCACAGACAGAAACTACAAAGCAAAATGCAGTCTGGGATCTTTCTCCTGAGCTAGTGCTTCACTGTGAACCCAGAAGAGTGCGCCCACAATAAAGCAGTATTCACTCTGAAGAGAAAGCGTGACTCCTGGCCCATTGGACCAGTAGCAGAAGTGTTGTGGCTCTCACAGACTCCGGGAAGAATCATTCACTCTGTGTCACTGTGTTACCAGGCCACCTAAAGTGACACCACAGTTGTGTTCCCTTGGAGCTGTGTCACAAAGCAAAAAGGACACATACTCTCTCTGTGTCTTTCCCTCTCTCTCTCTCTCTCTCTCTGTATGTATGTACATGTTCACATGGAATGGTTCATGGCATGTTGGGGAGGGGGATGTACTCAAGTATGAGCATGCCCAGGGAGGCCAAAGATCACCATGGAGCATATCCTTCAATTTATTATTGAACATGTTGCTCATCGATTCAGCTGGCTGGCCAGTGAGCTCTAGGAATCCACCTGCCTCCACCCTCCCAGCACTGAGCTTACAGACACACACTACCATGACTGGACTGTTTGCATGCGTGTTGGAGATCTGATTCCATGGGCGTTAGGTCCTTATGCTTTCCCAGGAAGAACTTTACCAACTGAGCCATTTGCTCGGCCTCGAGTCATCTTGACGGATGGAACATTACCTTTACCCTCCCGATTCCACTGCCCATGTTGCCCATGTCGATCACAAAGTTGCCTCCTGGAGACTCCCTTGACAGGACACCAGCGATCACTGCAGGATCCATACAGTATTTCTGGCCAACAAGTCTCATGGTGGGTTGATATCTCAGAAGATATGGCCTATCGACTTCAGCCAGCCGTTCAGAGGCAGGAACTCCTACAGCAAACACAGAAAGAAGGACGGGGCTGACGGTGATTCAGGCTTAGTCTTAGATTTGTGACTGAAAATCTCGAGCTTAAAACCCTGATCTCAGATTAAAGCTTTTTCTGTGAACCAGAGTCAACACCCAATGCAACTCCTGATGTTAGAGCTCTCTGTGGCCAACAGTGGCCGTGATCTGGGCTCTGATCCCTTCTGTGACAATTCTGCAGGCACAAGCACCACTGGTCCAATCCTGAGAACCTCAGAGAAGGTTTCTCAATAAAATACATGGAGCCAGAACAACAGGTCACCTTGAAAAGGAGAATGTCCTCCTGGACAATTTTGCTCACAACTGCCCATCTTTCAACCCCCCACATGATGCCAAGAAATTGTACAATAGCTGAAACTGTCAATAAGAAAGAAGAATGATGCTCGTTTACATGGGTTCACCTCCATTCTAGTTTCTTCTACAATTTAAGAAGCAACTATCACCCTATGCTATACAGTTCATAAAATCTCTGCCAAGACAGCTATCCCAGCTTCAGGAGAGCCTTGTTGAGTGCTCCTTCCTCCCACTCCTTAATGTAGGACTATGAGGAGCAGTGGGTGTCAAGAGAAAAGAGGGGACAGAGAGCTTGTTAACTACCACAATAAGTCAGGCCGTAGCGCCTTCCAATCCTGCAGGATGCTCCTGGGGTGTCCAGGACACGGATGTTTCCATAGCATCCCCAATTGCTGCTTTCAGAGGAGCCTGTGGGATTGAGAAAAGTTCAGCCTGAGAAACTGAGAATGCTGTGACTGAATCACACCAGTAACCTCGGGGAGAGCTAGAGTCCTGTCCTGTGCTTGAGTCCCCTTTGAAATTAAACCATCAGAAAAGTACCCTGGAAAAGTATCCCAGGGTGGCTTTAACTTTCACCTCCTTTTCACAGCACAAGGCGATATGCTTGAGCAGTTCTTTCTCTGCAAAACTTAAGGACTGTCTTGTTGCTCATTGGTCTGGTGAGGTATTCATGTTTGCTCTGGAGAAAGACACTTTTTTTTTTTTTTTTTTTTTTTTTGGTTTTTCGAGACAGGGTTTCTCTGTGTAGCTCTGGCTGTCCTGGAACTCACTCTGTAGACCAGGCTGGCCACGAACTCAGAAATCTGCCTGTCTCTGCCTCCCAAGTCTTGGGATTAAAGGCGTGCACCACCGCCGCCCAGCAGAAAGACACATTTTAAAGCCAGGGTCTTCTTGGTGTCCCCATACAGACCCCAAGTATAGGCATGGTCTATAAACAGGGACTGGGTTGGCTTCAGCTTCTCCTAGAACATTCTGGGCAGGGGCCAAAAGTTGCAGAGAAAATCTCTCTCTTCTGTCTCTGTCTCTGTCTCTCTCTCTTGATATCTGCTGCTGTAATTCTAGACATCACTGAAGGAGAGGCATTGCTTTAATTAATACTTGACTAATTAATTAATGTTTTTGAGACAGGCTTGTGATGGTTTGTGTATGCTTGGCCCAGGAAGTGGCACTATTAGGAGGTGTGGCCTTGGTGGAATATGTATGTCACTGTGGGCATGGGCTTTAAGACCTTCTTGCTAGCTGCCTGGAAGTCTTCTCCGAGCTGCCTTTGGAACAAAAGGTGGAACTCTCAGCTCCCCCAGCCTCACATCTGCCTGGATGCTGCCATGCTTCCCACCTTGATGATAATGGACTGAATCTCTGAACCAGTAAACCAGCCTCAATTAAAATGTCCTTTATAAGAATTGTCTTGGTCACTGTGTCTGTTCACAGAAGTAAAACCCTAAGACAAGCCTTCGAGCAGCCCAGGTTGTCAACTGTGTTGTCAGGGATTATCCTGAAACAATGGTTTTCCTGCCCCGACTGCCCAAGTACTGGGGTTGCAGGAGTGTAATAAGCAGCAAAGCCCAGGAATCCTCCTGTCAGTAAAAATTAAGGAGGCATCCTTTTAAAGTCTTAGCCAGTACAGGTCTGTCTCCATGACTGCTGACAAATGTCCTCCATGTGGCAGTAGATTGTCCCATTGCCCTCAGCCTTGCCATCCTCTCCCTAACCACACTACACCACTCTCATGGTTCCTTATATCTCTGAGGCTTAGCGCCTTGTGGCAACTTTAAAATATTGGTTGAACCAATAAGCACATATACAGTAAATAGTAAATAAATAAATATTTCAAATAAAAGGCAAGGATTTTCATTGTTTGTCCTAGCTACAACCAACATTAGAGCCAAAGCTGAAATTCAAAGCTTGTGACTATGTGCCTACCAGATCCGTCGTGTCTGGATTCTCTTAGGGCTGCTTCCTTACTTGAATGTTGTTAGTCATAGAGGGAACACCCTAGTCTCCCTTTGGAAAGATCTAGTCTCTAAATAGATTCATTATTATGGTGTTTGATGGTGATCTTTATTGCCATGTTGATGGAGATTTACGGTCACCCTGGAAGCAAATCCTTCACGTGTCTGTGGGGGATTATCTGGATCAGGTAAATTGAGCTGGGAAGGCCTATCCTGTATGTGGGTGTTAGCATTTCATGGATGCTGTCCTAGGCTGAATCAAAAGAAGAAAATGAGCCAAGCAGCCCCATCCATCTCTCCTCTTCCTGATGACAGAGGTTATATGACCAGCCATATCAAGATGCCACCCTCTTCCTGTGGAAAGCTTCCCATGATGGTCTATAGTCTCAAACTAGGATCCAAATTTAGCCCTTCCTGTTTAAAATTGCTTTTGTTGGGTACTCTGTCCCAGCAATGAGCAAAGCAACACTATGGTGGTAAGAGTTTTATAGCAGCGATGAGCAGTTATCAGTGGTGAATATTTAAAGACTGGTTTCAAGCAATGTGATTGCAAGTGCATAGAGATTGTAGGGAACTACTGCTTATCAGTAGTTATTCCTAACCCCAGGATTTATCAGACATTTTAGGAGGCGAATAATGCTTTCATTTTAGTTATATAAATGGAAGGTATAGCATTGCCTTTTCATGCCTTTTCTGTTCGTTTCCAAGTTATTTGGGAAAATGAAAACACACTCACCAGTCAGGGCCAGGAGGCCCAGAAGCAACCACAATGGAGACATGTCAGGTATCGGGTTCTTCGGCACCTGAAATGCTTTCAAAATTAAAATCAGCTTGAAGGTATATAACACCCATCATCGTCATGACAACACACTATTTCTGTATGTGAATGGAGTGAGTTCTCCCCATGTCCAAAGTGGAAAGTGAGTGGTTTGGGTCGTGATGAAGACGAGAAATTTGGACAGGTACACTGTTTAGCCTTTTAGTTAGTTCACAGCATGCTACAAATCTGTAATCTTAGCATTCATGGGGCAGGGCAGGAGGATTTTCAATTCAGTGCCAGCATGGACTACATAATGGGGCCCTGTTTTATTTTAAAAAAAAAAAGAGGAGGGAGAGAAGAAAGAGGAAGACAGAGATGCTGGGTGCTAATGTTTTTGAAAGCCAAGATAAGGTGTATATGGGGACGCATGCCCATCATTCCCAAGGTAGGAGAAGTACTGCAAGTTCCAGACTAGCCTGGGGTATACAGTAAGACTTTGCGGGGGGAGGGGGGAAACAAAGCTGAAATGCTTTGATTCTCAGCACTGAGAAACATGACATGACTCAGGGTGCTGAAAAGCAATTTCCATTATCCAGAGGTGGGGAGAAGCAGAATTTTGTGTTGATGGTTTCCTTGATTTGGGTTCTTTTCTCTTTAGATTGAAAAGAAGAACACAGCTTCCTCTGTGCTTTGGAATACACCCCAAGTCTTTACTTTGGATGATAGAAGGAAGAGGAAGACTTGTCCTATTGCTCTGCTCCTTGTTCTGAGGAATCCCAGACACACTGGGTCCCATTGAACTGTGTTCCCCAGAACCCAGGGACCTGTTGTTGTTACACATACACACACACACACACACACACACACACACTACACACTCACATACAACTCCCTCTCCCTCTGCCCCCCTACCCTCTCTTCCCCCTCCCTTCCTTCTTCCTCCCCTCCCCCCTCCAAGTTATTTATTTGATAGTGGGACAGAATCCAGGTCCTCCTACATGCTAGGAAAACACTGTTACTAGGTTACACCCTAATCCCTCTTCTAAGTTTATTCATATAGATGGGTTCTTCTATACAACCAGGATGAGATGTTCCCAGGTGGAGAGGCATTCTTGGCTTCTGTCTTTATAAACTGAGGGAGTATGTGGCCCTATAGCAAGTCATGCTTTCTGCTTATTTTTCCTATAGCATGGAGATGCTCTGTCTGGTTGCCCTTGACTCAGCAGAAGATGTCATGTTCAGTGATCAGAGATGTTGAGGAACTTCTAGTGTTAGCTGTAACTGCTCAGATTTCTTCCCTCCATGGAAACCATGTATCCTGAGGAATGAATGTAAGATCAGACAGGTAATCTCCAAAAGGAACCAGAAAAAGAGCCTCTAAGGTACAAAAAGAATGTTCAAGGCCTCAGAAAGGCAGGTCTTTCTCCTACTTTGTTTCTGTTGCTGTATTCAATCCCATTACCAAGAACAACATGGAAAAGAAAGGGTGTACTTCATCTCACAGCTTAAAGTCCATCATTAAGGGAAACTGGAACTCAAACAGGGCAGAACTCCAGCATGGCAGGAACTTAAAACAGAAACATGAAGGAACGCTGCCTCCTGGATTTCTCTGAAGCACACCTTTCTTAAACAGTCCAGGACCACCTGCCTAGTGTAATAGCACCACCCACAGTGGGCTGGGCCTCTCACATCAATCATTAATCAGGACATGCCTCTCCAGCCACGCCCACAGGCTAATCTGCTGGACTGAGCTCCGCACATCTTCAGCTGAGGCTGCCTCTTCCTAGGTGTGTTAAGTTGGTAACCAAGATAGCTGTCAGCTTTACAGAGGAATCTCACTGGCTTTCTCCCTGGAGCATTTCTTTTCTTTTCTTTCTTTTTTTTTTTTCTCCCTGGAGCTGTCTTTTTGTAAAAACTGATTTTCCAGGAAAGGAAGAGGCTTCCTACAGGAAACCCAAGAGGAAAGACATAGCTTTCATTGCAACACGAGAGTTACCTTATTTTCCAAATATGGAGCTAAGTATCTGTGTTGTACAAGCCCTTGTCTGAGTCTATGTAAACACAGTTATTTAGCAACACAAAGTCACTTCCTGGCGCCTCCTATGGTCAGTTATGAAGAGCAATTATTTTCAGTTGTATCAGGTCATAGCAAAAAGTGACAATGGGCTTTCTTGTATGGATAGACAAAGTAGTCCGTTCATAAACAGCACGCAGAGTGACTCAGACTTCTTGGCCCCGTTTGTCCAGGTGTCAAAAGCACTCTATATTTAAAAACTGAGTCATCTCGGGGAGTGCCCATTGGTCACACGTGACTCATTTGTTAGTCCTCCTCCCCACACTTGAAGCCATTTTTAAAATGTCAGCCAAGGTAAGTATGGTACCTGATGTCCATCACAGTATCTACCATGACACTGTTCTCCCAATCTGAAGAGCTAAAGGGTAAAGGCAGCAAGAAAGTATCAAGCTGAAGTGACAGACCACCTTTGGAACAAACACTGGAGAATTCCAGGAGGCTAGTTCATGCTCTTCATGGCCTCTGACAGGACATCTTCTTCTCCCTGTTTCCCCCCACATTGAGCATTCTGTAATTCCCAAAGCGTTGTATCAACTTGTGATGGATAAAGGAACTCTGGGGGTGGAGGTGGGTTTTCCCCTTTAAATTAGAAGCTGAACATTAAAGCTTTGAACCTCGATCAGAAACCTTTGTCCTGGCTTCATCTCTTCCCGCCCTCCTGTCCCTTCTTCCATTCCCAGCCTCTCTTTCAGGTGAACCCGGTCGACTGTGGCCGATGGCCCCCAACACCCCCACATTGAGCATTCTGTAATTCCCAAAGCGTTGTATCGACTTGTGATGGATAAAGACCATGTCTTCTTCAGCTCTCAACAATTTGGGGTGGGAAGTAGAAATGAAGGTCTTTGGTATTTATAGTTCCTCACCAGAGAGCAAGCTACGTCCTTGCAGGCCTCCAGTCAGCCTGGAAATATGTTGTATCAGCACCCTGGTGTCTGAGAGATGCATGTGGCCCTGCCTCATCATGGCCCCGCCTCATCATGGCCCCGCCTCATCATGACCCCGCCTCATCATGACCCCGCCTCATCATGACCCCGCCTCATCATGACCCCGCCTCATCATGGCCTGTAAGAACTGAGAACTGTGCTATGTAGCTCATTAGCCATGGCCCCTCACTGCAAGCCTGGTTGTTGCCCTTGCTTTGTGGCTAACTCCCTTCTCCATCTTCCATCTGGTTGGGCTGATGGGCCACACCAGCATCCTCTCTCACTCTCGTCCTCCTGATACTCTTCTACTCCTCACTTATTACATATGGTAAAGACCCTGTCCACTGCCTTTCCGGAGGCTTTGTGCCAATGGAGCTTAAATCAAAATGGCAGTATTGATGACAGTCATAAACATAAAATGCTTCTGCCACTACAGTCGCATGCCTAGAGAAATGAAATCTGCTTTGTAGACCACAGTGTAAGACAGCAACATCCCAGACCTTTGCTCGCTTCTGCTTTGATCTGGCCTAGTATTAGACACATAGTTCAGGCTACAGTGTTCCTGCTTCTGCCTAGAGAGTACAGAGGTTACAGATGTGAGCTACCATGTCCAGTTTGATTTTGTGAGACAGGGTCTTGCCTTGTAACTCAGGCTGCCCTGGAACTGGAGCTCCCCTTGCTTCCCCCTCCCCAGTGACTGCTGGGATGGCAGGTGTGTGCCTATGTATCATTTAACCTGTGTCTGTTCATAGACTGCATTTTCCCATGGCCTGTGATCACATGCACTTGTTGAGTTTGGGTTATGAGCCACCAACACCAGCTAGGAAAATAGAGAAGGTTTGAGAAGGTCTTTTCCTTCCTTGTTGGAAAATTCATAATCTCTTCCTTTACTGTGGAGACTATCTGAAGGGGGCATCTTCTGCTGTGTACCTCCATTCTTGCTCTTTCTCATTTTGCCAGCGTTAAGAAATCCTGGAAGACCATTGTCCTTGTGTGAGCCCAGGAATATTTCCTTCTGAACAAATATCTAATAAAAAAAGATTCTGGCTTCCTCCATCGTAGAATCTTAAAATACATCTGTCTTTTAACAGTAATAGCCAAGACTTAAACTGTTAGATACACTGCCCTCAGCTCTTTCCCAGCTTCCAAGAAAAGCAGGGCTCTTCTATACACACACACACACACACACACACACACACACACACACCCTGCCCCCAACACACCACACGTGCTTGTCTGGGTCAGCGTTTCGTCCACAAGATTGAAAGCGGGAAAAGACAGGCTTGCCACTTGGCAAGGTACCAAAACTTTAGTCCTTCAGCCTTGAAAGAACAAAAAAGACATTTTCTTTGATCTATTGCCAGCAGAGAGAGGGCAGGAGGCACACAGTTCTGCAAGCTTCCCCTCAGCAGCCTGAGGAAGTCAGTAATCTTTCAGGGACTCCAACTCAGCCATGATTCATGGCTTTGAGACATAGAGAAGCTTTTCAGGACTAGACAGTATGAAGCGGTGTTGCTGGATTTAAGGGAAATATTTTAATATCGTCCCTAAGCATAAGGGTAAGGAAAGACAGGCACTCGGGAAGAAAATAAGACATATCTAAGTGTAAATATTCACTTCCCCCAGGAGAATAGCAAAAATTGAAACATATCCAGCTATGGGTTCCTTGAGGGGGAGTTACAATTAATCATTTTAAGGTTATCTATATATGCCCTTTTGGGGTGCTCTCAAGTTATATCTCAGAAGTGGTTAACACCCCATTTTTCCTTTCTTCCGATAAATGAGATTATGAGGTGGCTCTGGAAAAGGCTTGGGTGGAATTATAATCTGATTGGTGAAGCCAGAAGCCACTAGGGTTACCCAAGGCATTTAGGACATCTTTCTACTAGTTGAAGTTTCTGGTGAGATTTCTAGAAATCTCATGAGGTTTGATAGCTGGGAAGGGAGCGAAGCAGTTGTTGACTGTGCTGACGAGAGACCTCAACCAGACTCTGAAGTGAGGGATCATGTCTCTCTCTTGTCATGGCCCATAGTTTCCCCCATCTTTCTCTATGGGCCCAGTATTGCTGTTAGTGTTAAATGAGCACATATTTCTGTCTTGCTGTTCATGGTCTTAATCATGTGCACATATTCAAAAGAAGCCCTTCCCGTGCGCTGGGAGAACTATAAGTCTGTCTAATGATTGTAAGCAAATAGGAAGAGCTATTCTATCATCTTACTTTTCTAAAATAGTCTTTTCTTGCAAGATCCTTAAGTTTCATTTGGTTCAATCTTATTTACTCAGAAGCAACAACACAATCATTATCAATTGATTAGCATATCCTGGATGTTTCAGTCTAAATAAATAAGTCTAGGGTCGGTTAATCATCATTCGATTAGCATGTCCTGGAATTTTCATTCCAAGGAAACTCAGTGCAAGTCCAGGGTCAGTTCCCACTCACCTGTCTTCAGTCAGCTCCTCTTCTTAGAGACGGTGAGCACCCGGCACTTTATATAGGGTCTCATCTTGCTTCCTCTTCTTAAAAGTGTTGACCTCATCTTATTATAAGATTTATAGCTAAATCTCATAAATATAGTAATAATCATAATAATTACAAATACTTTGAACTCATATAGGGATTTATTCAAGAATGTCCTGGCATTCTGCACCCATCAACCAATTAGCTCTCTACCACACCTCGGAGGACAAATCCTAATTGCAGGTTCTTGACGGAATGCACAGGTCCAACATCTGTCTTTATTCACTCCCATTTATTGGTGTGCTGTCATGTAAGGAACCAAGAGAGGGAGGGATGGAGAAAGAGAGAGAGGAGGAAAATGAGGCAGGAAAAGACAGAGAAGAGGGAGAAAAGGCTGAAAGAGGAAAGGAAGGAAGGATGGGAGGGAGGGAGAGAGGGAGGAAGGGAAGAAAGAGAGGGAGAAAGGGAGAGAGGAAAGGAAGGCGGAAGAAGAAGTGAGAGAGGAAGGGGGAGAAAGGGAGGAAAGAAGGGAGGGAGAAATGAAGGGAAAAGGAAGGAGGAAGGAAGGGGAAAATGGAGAGAGGGAGGGAGGAAATTTGATTTTCATAAACTCCTAGTCCATACTTGTGACTTCCTGTTGAGGAGTTTACAGTTCAGCATCCCCAGCTCAGAACCTGAGGATTCGGATTCTGTTGTTCTTACCCATGGCTGAAATAGTTTGAGTCTAAGCTCCAGCAACAGGAAAGGAGGTGAGCTACAGGGGGCAGAGAAGCAGAAGAGAACAAGAGGAACCACAGGTAGATAAGACATAGTTCCTCCACCAGCATGCAGACTGTTGAGCAGGCAGACAGCAGCAAACACCCTGGCACATACCAACATGTAGTTCAGCACAGAGGCCATACGTACATGGTAGACACACAGGCTTACAGACACACACAAGCAGACTGGTGAAGATGAGGGAGGTCTCTGACTTCAAAGCCATTTTTCTACAGATTTACACAAAAGTGGCGTTCTCCCAGGAATAGTTACAAAACTGATTGTATTACTGTTTACTTTGGGATTCCCTGGACATGACGTCTAGTGTCAGCTTTTTGTTTTCTGGCTCACAGCCCCCATGTCCAGTGTTAGCCATCTTGGTCTATGCCAGATATTCTTATCAGTACCATGTTTCCTACATTCTTGTTGGTTTTTTTGTTTTTCCGAGACACAGGGTTTTTCTGTGTAACAGCCCTGGCTGTCCCGGAATTTGCTTTGTAGACCAGGCTGGCCTCGAACTCAGAGATCTACATGTCTCTGCTCCCTGAGCACTGGGATTAAAGGCATGTGCCACCATGCCCGGGTATATTCTACCCACTTTAAACAACAATTGCTTTATGAGAGCAGACCCATAAGGGTGTTGTCTGGGCCCATAGTCCACAGTAGCAGTAAAGAGAATATTTAGTTTTCTAGGCTTTCTGTCTGTCTGTGATAAAGTACCCTGACCCAAAGCAACCTGGAAAGGAAAGAGACTGGAGGTGCAGCAGGAACTAGAGCAGAGTGGATAGATCTCTGGCTTGTTCCTCAATCATGCTCAGCAACCTTTCTTAGATAGCGTACGAGCCTAGGGATGACACTGCCCACAGTGAGGTAGGCCCTGGGCCATCACACATTAATCACTAATCAAGATAATCCCTCACAGATAAAGCCACAAGCCAATCCCATCTGGATAATCCCTCATCTGAGATCCTCTCAGACCACTCCAGGCTATGTCAGATTAACAGATGAAGCTGTTGGGGACAGACGGCAGAGCCATAGGCTGGGATACTGTGAAGGATATAGACTCAACAGATGAAGGTGCTGGGGACAGATGGCAGAGCCACAGGCTGGGACACTGTGAAGGATATAGACTCAAAGGTCTGGCTTTCCTGAACTCTTACATCCAAGAAGGGAATATAAGACTTTCTGGTTCCTCCTCATCATTGGGGCCAAGAAAGGTAGGGGATCAGGTACCTCTGTGAAAATCATATCCTGGATAGGATCTAGGGCCTTTTCTCTATTTTGTTCAGGAACAGCAACTAGGACACATAAGCAATAAAAATTTTTATTACAGTGTGGGGAAATTTAGGAATTCCCTGGCCCCAGCTACAAAGGTGCCACATCATCAGCACCAATGGCATGCTGGCGTCCTGGAAATGTGTCTCTGGTCAGTAGCCAGCATGTTGCCTGGCAACAGCTCCACAGAAATGATGCCCGTCTGTATCTCCAGGTTTGTTCGGTTCTTGGCCAACTCTTTTGTGTATAGCCTTCCTTTCGAAGATCTAGATTATAACTAAAAATTTCTGTCCCTAGACAAAGAGAGGAACCCAGATGCCCAGTGTGTGGAGGCCGGTATGGCAAAGAAACTGTGGCTTAGTGACATGGGCTGTAGTTCCAGCTACTGGGACGGGGAAGGCAGGAGTATGGCTTCAGCTCAGAAGTTTGAAGGCAGTCTGAGCAACGTGGTGAGGCCCTACCTCAAAAGTGAATAAAAGAGAGAGAGAGAGAGAGAAAGAGAGAGAGAGAGAGAGAGAGGAGGAAAGAAGAGGAGAGGAGAGGAGGGGAGGGGAGGGAACAAGAGAGGGGAGAGAGATAGTGAGGGAATGGAAGAGGAGAGGAGGAGAAGGGAGGGGAGAAGAGGGAGGTGAGAGGAGGAGGGAGAGAGGGGAGGGGAGGGGGAAGAGAGAAGGGAAGTGAAGGGGAGGTGAGGGAAGGGGAGGGGTGGGAAGGGAAGGGAGAAAAGGGAACTGTTTAGTGTGGTAGCACACGCCTATAATCTCAGCACTTAGTGGGTGCAGAAGTAATAAGATTGCATGTTTTGGCTAACTTGGGCTGCACACCAAGTAACTACCTTAAAATAGCTTGAAAGACACTTGCTTCTCCTAGACTTAGGTGAGACTAACTAGAAATAGCTCAAGATATTCCCTGGCTCAGTCTGGAACCAGGTTGGGACAGGGGAGGGCTTCCCACTTCCTACCCCACCTGCTGCATGTTTGTTACCTCACAGACCCAAGCTCTCCTCAGCTTGAGTTTATGCCACAAATGGGTTAGGTCTTCTTACTCTTGCCTTACTCTGGGTTCTGCACGGTGCTTGCCCACAGCCTACCCTACTGTGCCTAAACTTTTGTAGAAAATTACTTTGGGGAACCTCAAACAGAATTGTCCCATACACCACAATTCCCCCAAAAAGCTTCCTAGAAGAGATGTGCTTTTCTGTGTCTCCAAAGCATTGGGAAGCATCTGCTCCTACTCATGCCTTCTACTCTGTAAAGTCTCAGTCTCCTCCTCCTCCTCCTCCTCCTCCTCCTCCTCCTCCTCCTCCTCCTCTTCCTCCTCCTCACAGTTTTCTCGACTCCTGGCACAGCACTTGGGATCCCTAAGTCTGCAGAAATAGAGTACATGTCACACCTTTCTGCTGTATGCAGCTCAAGGCATCTATTGCCTACGCTACTCCAACAAATGAACAAATACACTCGTCCCCCCTTTTTCTTTTTTGAACAAGGTCTCACTCTGTATCACTCTGTAGCTCTGTTTGGCCTGGAATTCACTCTGTAGAGCAGGCTGGCCTCAAACTCACAGAGATCCTCCTGTCTCTGCCTCCTGAGTGCTGGGGTCCAACACGTGTGTTACTACACCCAGCAGTAGCCCCTCGGTAACTATTCATTTACTAGGGTGACGGCTGAGGAAGTAAATTCCTGGGACTCGGGTGTGGCTGTCTGTCAGAGCTTCACCTCCCATGGATTCCCAGGGGCATTTGGCTCTCTCATTCTGGAAAATCCCTTTATCCAGGTGATTTCTGGACTCTTCATCTTTAGTCTTCTGCCACACTCTGACCTCTATCTGACTTTAGTCCCGAGAAGAGCTGTCATTTATGACTAAGAGAAACTCAGTCTTAAGAACTCTGTTTCTCAGCAATGACTTCCAACTGCTTGCCCACTGTTATCTGGGTTCCTTAATCCCAAGAGCCCCAGGAACCCGGAATGGACATTCTCCATACAACCTGCTAGGCACTCTACAGAAAAACAATTGTCATATTCTCAGTTTATAAGATCTCTGGCTGTTAGCTGGTTTTGAGATGGGCAAGATGAAAGAGACTCATTACAGGCCTAGCAAAAGGCCAAGTGAAGAGATGTTTGCTGGACTAGGAGAAGAAGACAGAGAGGAGATGTGCCAGCTGTTCATGTTAGAAATGGAATTGACTTAGAGGGGTGGACTAAGCCAACCTTGGTGGTGAACGCCTATAATCCCAGTACTCGGGAGGCAGATGCAGGCAGCTCTCTGTGAGTTTGAGGCCAGCTTGGTCTACATAGGGAGACCCTGTCTTAAAAAAGAAATAAATAATTTTAAAGAGGGGGTAGGACTGGATGCCAAGGATAGAAAGAAGAGGCCACAAACATCTGGGAGGATGGTGCCTATCCTGAAATTCTGTAGACAGAGCAGATTTGTGAAAGACTAAAGAGCGAGCCTTAGACACTAATACTTTGCTGAGGGTTTCTGGGTCTGAGATTGTCCTTCATTTTCAAGCCTCTTGCAATATAAGTGAATGCCACAAGAGTAGCCACATAGCAACATGACCTTGCCTACTTGGTCACGGCATCTCACCCATCAAGGATGAGATGATGATTTGAGCCCTGGTGACACCACAGCAACAAATTGTTGAACTGACATGTGGATCTTATTATATCTACTGGTAACTGAGAAAAGAGATTAGCAACCTGTGGCCCCAAGCCCCCCATCTGCTTTGTAAATAAAAATGTCTTGAACTACTAATAGGGCCGTTTACATTGGCAGCGTCTGCTGTTGGCTTTGATGCTACAACAGTGTAGGTAAGACCAGTTATGACAGATCAACCAGGTGGCCCTCCAGCATATCCAAAGCTTTAAGAAAAACCTCTGGCTTAAGATCTGGCATCTCCATTTGGCCCAAGGCATAGTAACAATAAAGAAGAGGCTGGAGAGAAAGATGAAGCAGTCTCTCACAGAGAAGAAGC